TTTTTACCAATAATAAAATATTTATTTTTTTAGTGTTTTAGTAATATGAAAGTGAATAATTTTTAAAATAAAACGCATGTCTTTTTAGACCCCTAAGTGATAAACTTAAGGAATAAATAAATGTTGTTTTATTTGATGACCAAGTGTGCTATTTATGTGTCCATGGCTGTATATATGTACATGTGTACATATGTATGCATGTATACATGTACATATAGACATTGTCCAAGTTTGCAAAATTAATTAATTTTATTTGGTAACAAAATCATTTTTATGTGAAATATTCATATCGATGTGCATACATACAAACATTTACAGCTTTATTTGCATGCATTTGCAAATATAAAAGTACAAATTCCATACACCATCCGTTTATTAGCCATTTTTAGCTACATTTGGCGCGACCAGCTTCTATTTGACACGTAAATCACTTAGAAATATATATGTGTGTATGTGTGTATTGTATACATATATTCGTTTTTACTTATGAATTTCATATGTTTTCGCTCAGTCTTTTAAATTTTTGCAAATGCATGTGTTTATTTCTTAAACTACTGCTGCTTATTTAGAGGACAAGGTGCGCGACATTCTGCAAACATACATATGTATGTATGTAGTACATACATGGCTTTAACACTTTTTGCGATATTCCTTATTACAATAAATTCTATATGTACATATAATATACCTACAGACACATGCACATATACATACATAAGTACATATCTAACGAATTTCATTCACAAATAAATACTATTATGGTATGTGTGTATGTAAGAATTATGTGTACGCCATACGTACATATGTACATATATTGCGTATGCATATACAATATCTAGAGGCAGTGAGTACGAACTGCATATTTTTACCTGGAATTTACTGTATATGTAGGTATATATAAGCAAACATACAAACATAGATATGTACACATACATATATTTACAGTGTGACAGAATGTTGAAATGTCTCGTTCAGCTCTATATTTTTTTAACCTTTTTGCTTTTGTTATTGTAGCCGTTATTCTATTCGTCGTTGCACGAAATTGCTATTTTGCTTTAACTACACTGCCCGCAGTGCACTCAACAACAAAAATGGGAAATACTAAAATCGCTTGTTGGCTGAGGTGTTCATATGGCCGCACAATGGCAAAAAGCAGAGCGAAAACAGCACAGAACTATAGCTAAACAAAACGTATTATAAGCAGTGGAATTTTCCACTCGGTTTCAGTGCAATTTGCGCTGGGTGTATTAACCCCTTCGTTGCTGTGGCTACCCAGCAAGAAAACATGCAAAAAACTGTGCACACATGCCAGATTTTCGGAGTTGTTAAACTACCCCTAAGAAACAACAAACTGTTGGATCGAAAGTTATGGAAAGTTTTTCCAACAACACCCAGCAGGGGGTTGGAATGCGTAAAGCTACAGCTACAAACGTACATATGTACCTGTATGTATTATAGTGCCTTTGCATGCGCATCTATTAACAGACAGCTACGAGTCTTAATTTGAACTTTCTAGAACATAGTAACTCGCAGATCTGGCTAGCGAGTCAATCGTATCGAACAATCGTCTCAAAAACGACAGGTAACTGAATTGAGTCGACCTCGCAAATGTGATGCGTGTTCTGAAACAGCGCACTGCCGCTTAGCGGGTTAATACAGAATGAAATTATCGCTTTGTAGTTTATTAAATTGCAGGCGAGCAAAAATTCCAACGCAGATGGTGTCACTGTTTGTGGGGAGACGCTTTTTTTTAATTAATTTGTATGTTTCGAAGCACATATGTATGTATGTATATATGTAAATAATAATGGTATCTAAATGCGTGTGTGTTGGGCGAATTCGCCCAGTGAACGAAGCAAACGTCCATTGTGCAACGAAGCACAAACGAATTGAACCAAGGAAAAATTAATAAAACCGCGGTTTCATATTTGCTGAATTCATGCATACATATGTACATATGTACGTATATACATGCTTTTTATTTACATATGAAAATATAATTTTTACAGTGCGCTCATGCTTTTTATCTGCGCTAAGATTCTATAACTCAATTAGGCAAATAAATGAATGAAATGCAGGCAGTCAAAGTCATTGCTTTTCACAATATAAATTAAGGCTGAAACTGACAATCATAAGCAAACAAAAATGCAATGGAATGCGACTAAAAATAGTACGCAATTAAAAATAATAACTCTTTTCTTATTTTTGTTCGAAGAATAAGTACATACATACATACATACATACATACTTCTTTACTGGCGTAGACATCGCTTATACGATCACCAGTCGTTTCTTTTTTTTCGCAAGGTGGCACCAATTGGCAATTCCGAGCGAAGCCAGGTCATTCTCCATTTCGTCTTTGAGTGGAGGTCTTCCTCTTTCAGAGCTGAAGTGTTTTTGTCCATTCGGACAACATGACCTAGCCAGCGCAGCCGCTGTCTTTTAATTCGCTGAACTGTATCCTTTGTCGTTGTATAGTATATCTCATACAGCTCATCGTTCCATCGAATGCGATATTCGCCGTGGCCACGCGCAATGGTCCATAAATACTTCGAAAACATGCTGCACAAATGCAGCTCCCTTTCGAGGTCTAAAGCCACACTTATAATGTCCAATCAGTTGGTTGACGGTAGGCTTTCATCATTCACACAATACGCTCGGGAGAACTTTATACGTGATATTGAGGAGGCTTATCCCACGGTAGTTGGCGCAGATTGTGGGGTCACACTTTTCGTGCATTGTACAAAATTGTCAAGCTCTTCGTACTCACGTATTTCGGTCTCTCTCTTTTTTGTCTGCTCGGTATCTATCCTATTCCTCACGTGTTGTGGTCGATTGTAACGTTACGACGTAGGCAACTGCTTTCTCTCCGGTGCGGTATGGCACTCCTCATCGTACCAGCTGTTTCAAAAAACTAACGCGTTCTTATAGATTTGGGATGTAGACTTCATTTGTATCAAAATACGCTCCGGTGCTTAAAATGTCCTGTCCTAAAATGATAAACTAATCTCCTGAAGCTTTTACTTTGTTCTAATTGAACATCGCATATTACACTCTCGCATTATTTACTATTACGTACTATTTTTCGATTTTACATGCAAAAATGTTCCGACTTCCTCTTTTATGCCTAAGCGCTGTGCATAAATCAAAGCATCTGAAAGTAATATATTAATAGGGTCTATAAATTTCGCAGTGATCTATACTCCCACCTGTCACTCGGTATGCACATTTGTAGCTGTTGATAGAGCGCATATGGGATAAGTGGCGTTGAGTGCTGCAATAAGGTCGATTGCCGACAGCTTAGTGGACATAATATAAATAAATAGACGATTAGTTGTTCGCCAACTGGTATGACACAACCGAGCCTCGTGAATAATAAATGGCCGGTGGGTGGAAAGTGCATGTTATACCGTTATATCTTGGCACTTGTAGGTGGTTAATTAAATCACGCGAGAGGTCCGACGCCCAGCCCTCTAGTGGGAATATATGTATTGGTATGTACATCGTATATTGAATTATGACAGGAGGATTGGGTATGAGCCAATGAAAAGTAATGCAAATCGTGCGCGCATTTCCACTAATGGAAACTAATTATTTTGCAGCTTTATCGCTGAATCAGGCAGGAATCTGCATAAAATAAGCATTTCCGCTAGCGTTGACTGTATCGTTCACACACACATATTAAATTATGTATTTATTTACCGGACACAAATCTACACAAAAATATAAAAATAGAGAAGAGTTTGGCAGAGCAAAATGTAAACAAATAGCATGAAAATATATAAACAAAATACATACACACGTGCTTGTACATAAGAATATGCAAATGACGCGTATAGTTCAAGTATTTTTGCAAATTTTGGACTTATGAATAAAAATGTGCGCTAGATGTCAAGAGAAAGTCAGAATAAGCGAAGCTCAGGTTTGCGAAATGAGAGCTACAGATCGCGCGTTGTACTCATTATAATCGCTGGCTACGTCGTCGATTGTCTGTTTACACTTCAGTATGCGAAAATCATTGCACACCGAACTGAAGCGTTGCCCACGCACGACTTTAAAACCTCGCAAATTTTGTGATAATGTTTATGAGAAACTTTTATTACATTCGCCATACCGATAGTTCGCTTACATACAAACATATATAAAAAACATAAACCATAAACCAATTTTTCTAACCACTAAGCCTACGAGCCATTCACTGTCACCACTTCCATTTCGTTATGCTTCGCGCTCTCGCTGAGTCCCACCAGTTTCTCGCTCTCCGCCCATAGCCAATCGGCTGTGTCCTTGCTCTTTGCCCACGGTAGTAGCGGCCAGCGCATTGAGTCGCTATAGTAATCGCCACTGCACAGCTCCAAGGCTGGGTCAAGCGCCAGCCGGAGTTGTGTTTGCGCACCATCCTCCGGCGACTTCCACAAGAACTGCACCAGGTAATGCAACAAACCGAAGCCTGGAAATTGTATATGTCGCACCAATTCAGTACGCACTACGCCGGGATGACAGCAGTTCACTGTTACACGAGTGCCTTGCAAAAGTTCCGCCAATTTACGCGTAAACAACACATTTGCCAACTTACTTTGCGCGTAAGCGCCGAAGAAGCTCGAGTAATGGCGTTCGCTATTTAGGTCATTGCGTTTAATTCGCCCGAAAATGTACATTGCTGAGCTAACGACTACAATACGGCTTGGCGCTGATGCTTTGAGACGCTCCAGCAGTAGATTTGTCAGCAGAAAGTGGCCCAGATGATTCACGCCCAACTGCTGTTCGAAGCCGTCAGCTGTAAGCTTGCGCGGCGTAGCCATGATACCCGCATTATTCACTAAAATATCCAAACGTTGCTCATCGGCTAGAAAACGCGTTGCAAACTGGCGCACCGACGCCAGCGATGCAAGATCCAAAGTACGATTGTAGACATGCTGATTGCCAGTGCGCTCTATAATCTCAAGACGCGCAGCTTCACAACGCACTGCATCGCGACAAGCCATGTAAATACGTCCGCCCCGACGCGCCAATTCCAAGGCGGTTGCCTTGCCGATGCCTGTGTTGCAGCCGGTCACAATCACCACCTTACCATCAATGCGGTTCGCCTTGCGATAACGCGGACCCTGTATGCATTTGCGCAGCAGCCACAACAACAACACAACGATTAAGACGATAAGGAGAATAGGCAGTAGCCGTGCCCAAACGCCATAGAAACACAGCTTCTCACCCTCGTTATCTGACATATTGTAATCGGATCGTTTGTTATTGCTTGTTTGTGTATATATGTATGTATGTGTACGCTCCGTAGCGATTTATTTTATTTGCTTAAAGTGAGACTTTACGTATTCAGCGCCGAGCTTAAACTGACTTCCCAGCAGAAGTCACTTCCACTGGCAGCGATTCGCGTTTTCCACACTCGTTGATAAATGTTAGCCAAGTCAACATAGAGTTTGCGCGCTGCTCAAGCGCAGTAAGCCCAGCATATTTTTCGACAGCGGTGAAAGTGGCGGCTCCCATATTCAGAGGCCATATCGCAAAGGTTCATACATACATATGTATGTACATGGAAAAGGTAAACGATAGCCCAATTACTCCGGGCAGCTTTCGAATATACACAAGTACCTGTCTCTTATACACATCTAGATGTGTATAAGAGACAGCATATTCAGAGGCCATATCGCAAAGGTTCATACATACATATGTATGTACATGGAAAAGGTAAACGATAGCCCAATTACTCCGGGCAGCTTTCGAATATACACAAGTACGGCTCTGGCTTCCGCTGCAGTCGTTGTTAAATGTAGCGAGTAAACAGCGACGCATTAAAGCCGACTTTATGCGCTCGACTCACTAGTAGATAGAGCGTTAAATACCGGTATTGTAAGCCTCTCGAAGAACTTTGAGCTCGGTTGGCTTCAGAACTTTACACACACAGTTTCGAACATTGTAACAATAATGAGGTGGAGCAGTTTTGAGCACCGCAGGCAGCATAAACGAGGCTGCGTACTGCGCGGTCGTAGCTAATGTTTACTTGTCAAATAGCTTCTGTTGTAGCTGCTTTGTATTCCAGGCATATCAACTGCAAGCAGCGCCCGTGTCAGTGTAAGTCAAAGCTGGCAACCGGTTCGCCATGAACTTCCTCGCCAACAGCAAACAGTCTATAGATAGACTTGCATATATGTTTGTATTTGTGTACCAGTTATGAATGCACGAAGTAAGAACAGATTACTTCGTTGCAAGCGGCTCTGAACGCAAGCGCTCTTAACAGTGCTATTGCTGAACTTGGTTAATGCTGAGCATCTGCACCCTATAAGCGGTTTAAGCTCATAGTTATTTCTGATACACGATGCCAACAAAGTTATAATAAAATTAGTTCAACGTCAGGTCAGCAAATCGTGAAAGTGACAACTAAAAATCCTCCTCAACCAATATTTACCAGTGCCAAAATTAAACCAAAAAACAGATTTAATTTCAACCAAACCGTTGTCACCCTCGGTGTTATTGTTGCTTTATAAAAAAAAAAAAAAAATGTGTAATATGTGTATACTTATATAAGCATTAAAAATTAAGTAAATACAATCAATAGGAAAGACACGGTGGAATAGTGTGCTACCATCCTGGAGCTAGATTTTATTGATCCACCACTATTGTTTGCACCGCATTCGCCGCTCCTTGGAAGCCGACTAACTTTTCGCTCTCTTTCCATAACCATTCCGCCATCTCTTTGTCTTTTGCTTTCGGCAGCAAAGGCAAGCTGGTCGAGTCTGCGTAGAAGTGACCACTGCACTTCTCTAGCGCCGGATCCAATGCTACGCGCAGTGTTGTCTGCGCACCGGCTTTGGGCGTTTTGACGAAGCAGCCAAATATGCGGAACCAAATTGCATTGAACCAGTGCGTAGAAATGCTATAGCGACCCAATTCGGTGCGCACAATACCGGGATGGACGCAGTTGACGGTTACGCCAGTATTCCTAAGCATTTCAGCCAACTTTCGTGTGAACAGTATATTGGCCAACTTGCTTTGGCAGTAAGCACCCAGGAATTTTGAATAATGCTTCTCACTGTTCAAATCGTCTTTGTTGATGCGTCCGCAGATGTAGGCCGCTGAACTTACCACCACAATGCGACTGGGTGCACTAGACTTTAGGCGTTCCAGCAGTAAATTTGTCAACAAGAAATGGCCCAAGTGATTCACACCAAACTGCTGCTCGAAGCCGTCGACGGTAAGTTTGCGTGGTGTGGCCATAATGCCGGCATTATTTATAAGAATGTCCAAGCGTTGTTCCTCTGCTAGAAAGCGTTCGGAAAATTGGCGCACCGACGACAATGAGGCCAAGTCCAATGTGCGATTGAAGACGTTTTGGTTTTGTGTGCGTTCAATGATCTCCAAGCGTGCGGCCTCACAACGCGCAGCGTCGCGGCAAGCCATGTAAATCCGCCCACCTCTGCGTGCCAGCTCCATGGCAGTCTCCTTACCTATGCCCGTATTACAGCCTGTCACAATCACTACTTTCCCATCGATGCGGGTCTTCTTGCGATAAAAGGGTCCCTGTACGCACTTGCGTAGCAACCACATGATCAATGCGATAACAAGGCAAAAGACAAGTATAAGCACCAGCCAGGCCCATGGACCCCGAAAACACAATGATTTTTCGTCGTCTTCCAAAGGGCTGGGTACTTCGCCCGGCATATTCAGTTGATTTATTTGTATATGAAACGTTGGTTTTTCAACTAAAATGTCATTTGTCGATTTGCGCGCTTGCGTTGTTTACTCACACTGCAACTTTCTTTTAGGCACCGTTACAAACAACTAACTGCCATCCACCAACTTCCAACATCATCACTGCAGTCTAAGTGTGTTCGAATTTCAGTAGTTGCTTTCGAATTTCGCTTCGCTTTGTGACTTTCTTTTAATAACCAGGCTAATACACTGCCTATTACCACCAGCCGGCAACAACTAATGTCTTGTCGCGGGCCTCTCACAGTGAAGATGGAATGCTATGAGTATGAACAGGCAAATACCAGTTTTGTTTTTGACTGTGAGAGCTCTAACTCTCAACGGCTGTGGCACACTCACAGCCCGGCATACATATATACATTCATAATATACACCGAAATCGAGTCTTTGTCTTTGTTGTTTTTTTCACATGCCATTTACATACCATATGTAATTAACACTTAAATTCGCTAAAAGAACATGCAAAACATTATAAATTCGAAATATGGGTTGCACATTATTTTTAACGTTTACATATATTTTTCGATCTGCTGATTATAAATGGAATTTTTATATATCTCAATACCTTTATTGTAATAATTTACTTTTTATTCAATACACCAATAAATGAACAAAGTCGTGTTGTCCTCGCTGCGGCGGTCAGACAAAAATTCAATCTTCATACATCTGCCTTAACCTCGCCTCACACTGCGATTGTCTCAATGCGTTCGGTTCTGCTTAACCCAACCAACCGCTCGCTCTCACGCCACAACCAGTCAGCCATCTTTTTGTCCGTGGCCCACGGTGGTAGTGGCCATCGTATGTAGTAAGAGTAGTAGCCGCCTGTCGAACGTTCCAAGCTCGGATCAAGCGCTAGACGTAGCGCGGTCTGTGCACCTGCGCGGGGTGTGCGTGCGACTAGTCCGTAAAGCTTGTAGATGATGTTCCACAGCCAAGCTGGCTTTTGGTTGTTGAACATTAATTTGGTATACACCATTCCGGGATTGCAACAATTTACTGTTACGCTAGTACCGTCCAATATTTTCACCAACTTCCGCGTGAAAAGTATGTTTGCTAACTTACTGTTACTATAAGCGCCGAAGATCTTCGAATAACGCAGCTCACTGTTCAGATCGTCCTTGTTAATGCGTCCGAAGAGGTGCATGAAGGAGCTCATTACAACCACTCGACTAGGCGCTGCTGCCTTCAGACGTTCAAGCAGTAGATTAGTAAGTAGGAAATGTCCTAAATGGTTGACGCCAAATTGGTACTCAAAACCGTTAGCAGTAAGTGAGCGTTGTATAGTCATAACACTTGCGTTGTTCACTAAAATGTCCAGTCGTTGTTCTTCCGCGTTGAAACGCGCTGCAAACTGACGCACCGACTCCAAAGAAGCCAGATCCAGGGTGCGATTATAAATTTGATGATTGCCCGTGCGGTCGATAATATCCAATCGAGTAGTCTCGCAACTCGCAGCATCGCGGCAGGCCATATAAATGCGAGCGCCACGCCGCGCGAGCTCCAGCGCTATCTCTTTGCCATTACCACTATTGCAGCCAGTGATGATGACGACCTTGTCATCGATGCGATTGCGCTTGCGGTAGTATGGACCTTGTTTGATTTTTCGCAAAATATACAATATACCAACTACGAGGAATGTTATAAGAAATATTTGTATGATCCAAGCCCAAACGCCGTGGAAACATAATGTTTTTGGTGAACGCTTTAAGGGTGTATTCAACACAAGCTCCTCGGTCATGATTAAGCGAAGCTACCGCACTACCTCTCGGCCTTACCTAAGACTGCACTGTCTGAGTGAAAAAGTAGAACTAAATTTTTAAATCAGTGTCGTTTTAAGTTTACTGATTTTTTTGGTAACATACATATTTTAGAGTTCGATACACGAACAAACCCACATAACTGCTATTTTCAGGTATTAAGGAGGCGGTTACCTTGACCGACGACGTGTCCAAGTACTTTAACCGTTGCACCAAATACTTGGCCCTCGTCTAATACATTATTAAGCATTGCGTGTCTGTGGCTCCAGCCATTTTCGGCACTCAAAATTGCTACCAAGAGAAATTTGGAACTGAAGGGAAGCATTAGGTGTAATTAAAAATAATTAAGCCAATTTAAAACCCTGCAGTCGCTTCTCTTAGCGCCGTTTACTTACATTGCTTCGAAAAAGTTATAAAAGAGTAAAATATTTTATTTGCCTTATTTAATGACTGGTCGAGGTGAATAACATTTATGGGTTTCTGTTTTGATTCTGCATTTGAAGTGAAAGTTGTTTTTTTATTGGCCGCGTGTGCTGCTGCTGCACCCAACGATAGCGCCACACCGAATTGTATGTTTTTAGATTTCTTTCTCTCATGCACTCTTCTCTTGTGCTCTTCTGAAGTTTAAACTTTTCGTACATAGGTAAGCGTACTTACAACCACGTGTAAGCACTGGTCGAAAGGCGAGCGCCTGAGAGCTCTCCATAAGTCATAGTTTTGCCAAAATATATTCTGGTGAAGCACCTTCTCGCTTTCGAAGCCAACAGTTGACCATTAGCAGTATTATGCTGTAATGTCCTTGAAACATATATGTATGTACTTGTCGCAATTTCGTCATGAACTGGAATTGTGTGCCATCTCGCTCGCCACTGTAAGCCTTACGCACCGCATGGTGGCTTCCAGGAAGCTTATACGCACGTTGGTGCGGTGTTGCAAAGTACACGCGTGCCTTATGACTTCCAATTACGCTGTTGGAACAGTCGTACATTGAAAAACAAGCCCCATTTCCAGTGGAATACACTTGGGGGTGTTGTTTGCCACTGCTTTGACAAAGTTCTTGTGTCGTGACGAGGGCGGCGACCTCACCAGCGCTGATGTGCTGCTCTGCACGTACACCCAACCCAGTGACGTGGCAAGTGGAGCAAATCTGTTGCAAAGCGGAGTGTAACAGCTGCCTAGTTCTCGCAATTTTCGCTATTTTTTTGTTGTGCTTTTTCGGCTATGCGCTTTTATAGCTCCCCCGTCTTCGCAGCTGAGCCTTGCTGGTTTGGCGTTCGCGATTATCGACCAAACTGAGTGTAGGTCATGTCGCTTGTTGCACTGATGGAAGTTTCACTTTTTTTCGGCGACAGTGCGTTCCAATTCGGCGATTTAAAGGTGCGAGGTGCGGGATATGCCTGCCGGGTCGCAAAATGTTTATAGAGTATTTATACATTGACGAATATGATACCGTTTTGTGCAAACCTAACTCCTCTTCTTGGTTTCTAAATTCTGCAATCGAGTGACTTCCTCCAATGCAGTATTTTAACGCTTTTGACTCGCTTTTATTTTTGGTAGATATTTGTAGTGATTAAATAATGTGACGCTGTCTTTCTGCTCCATCATTAAAGGCTTGTAATTTACGAACTGCAATTGTCGTGCGGCTAAGCTTTGCATGTCACTATATTCACATACATACATACACATTTCGGTGCATGTCACGCCATTTTGCGTCAATTAGACAACGCTTGCAGTTTATGTCGCTTTTCTAGAGTTTTGCCCAACTATTCTGTTTTCCCCATTGAGTTGGCTGGCCGCCCATTTGGCGGGACGCTGCAGTCAACGGCTGTTATTCGCAGACCGTTTTGGCAGATCCAAATGCGCTGGCTTTTGTT